AATGCAGTCTGAAGTTCTTGTGCTGTCTGCACAAGAACTTGGAGGGAGCATGTGTTTATATGACAGTATCATCAGCACAAAGACGTACTTTTGCTGGAATATTAGAAAATAAAATAGGTCCCAATGGTCTAAATGTATTTGCATCAGAATTTTAGTGAGAGTCAAAACTGCATCTAATTCACATTTATCAGGTTAAGTATCCACTTAAATGTACATTATATTCATGAACGGTGCATCTCGTCTTTTTCACTTCAAGTTCGACCTTGAACTTGAACCCAGGCAGACGTTCATTTTCTCTTCATGCTTTAAGTTCTTAGACAGAATCAGAATTTGTTATAGGAACTCGCAGGGAGGTCTGTAATGTGACTGTAAATACAGATGACAGCCGGCACTGAGTCACAACACTTACACAGCTAATGAAAGCCAGAACTAGACTGAAGTGAAATATCACTCCAGGTAACATGACATTCGTGCAAGTCATTCTGTCACGGATTTGTTTTTCTGGCCATCTACGTGAAAGCTGACCTTTCATTTAATGAACAAACCACCGAGGTCAGTTTGTCCTCTTTAAAATGTCCCTCCTCTCCTAGTTTCCACTCTACCCCTTTAAAATACTTCAATTTAATATCAGTCTGACATCCGCTGCCTGAAATCACTTAAGAAAGCCATCGAATGACCTTCTCTAAATTGCCAGATTTCAACATCAATTTATTTCATGAACTGACAGAGTCGGATTTAATTTACTCTGAGACATGAAGGAGGTGAGCAGGTCGGAGTACGTCCCGCTCCCAAAGAGAAGAGATCCCGACATACAGCCGCCTCGTCAAGGCCAGCTCAAGGTTACCTTCAAGCAGCAGGTGACTGTTTCCACTCATGTTTCCATTTAAAAAAAGATTTTTATTGAAAATAGAAATGTACAGAGGAAAAGGTCACTCTGCACATTTCATTCAGGATAGAGACTGAAGGCTGGCGCTTTTGTACATAATAACGACACGTGCAAGCACCCGCAAACAACGGAGGTGATCAGTCTGTGTTATCATAGGGAGGCAGATGTGCAGCTGATCAAAAAAATAAAGGGATGCAGTTTGTTTCTCTAAGAAGCTGAAAACCTGAAGGTGCTTTATTTGTTGCAGCAGCGATTCAGCAAATGAAGCCATAAAAAAACTGAGTGACCCTTCCTGCAAATTACCCCCGATGCTTGATTGGCTTTAAATAACTAAACTGTCAACAGAGAGGCATCTAATTCTCTTTTTCCTGCTCCAGCACACCTTTAAGATCACAAATAACTGTATAACTGCATCTGAAACCAAATATAAATAAATTTCCCTCGAGAAGACTTCATGACAAACGTATGTTTGTTCCAGTTTGTTCCATGTTCCAGTTTTAGGATGATTAGCTTCTCCTTTTGTAAAAATAAACACATCGATATGTGTGGACAGAGGACAGCCGTCCCCAAAGCTTCCTATAAGATTCTGCTGTTCCAACGACCTCCCACCTGGTAGAAAACCAATACGGCAGACATGTCGGCGGCTGTTTCGATGCCTGTCAATCACTGTGAGTGACTGATTGGCATTCCCTGCTGGTTTGTGCGTTGGCATTCTCTAAATGCAGCACTGACCCGTTTGATTAATCGTTCCTGCTCGAGCGGTCAATAGAAGCAGACGATGTGCCGCAGGACTGAGGAGCACGTGATGTTCAGCTCGTGCACTTTAAGTCTGTTCCAGCGATTCAGGCTCAGATACGGTGTGATCGTTCATGGGTAACGCACAGCAACATTGCTGGAGGTTCTGAGCTCCTTTCCATACAGAAATCAAGAAATTAAAGGGAAATATATTTTTGTTATTGGGGTTAAATGATGGAGTGATGCTGATAGAAGAATAAAAATACAAGTATTTTTTGAGGGTTATATGTGAGAATATTGTTTATCAGTTTGTTGGCATTTTCTTTTCTGCTATTTAATATTAAGAACATACCCCGGGCATAAATCTCTTTGCTTGAATCCAAAATTTACAGCTCACTTCATGCAGTTTGTCCTAAAATGTGCTGCAAGAAATTATGAATGAGCTTTCAGCAGTAGCTCAGCATCTCTATGAGATTACTGTGATGACAGAATACGAACCCTAAATGATTTTGATAAACCTGTAACTCAAGAGACAGAATAACAGATTGAAATGTTAGCCTTACTGTGGACATTTACAGTATGTTGTACTTTTACTACATGAGCTATTTAAACTGCTACCTTTAAACTGCAGTTTCTCAAACGTCCAGCTGGGGCTCCAGCAGTGACTCAGTTCCATACATCTCTAATTCCTTCATAACAACTATGCAGACACCATACATATACAAACAATAACTTATTAGTTTACATTATTTTTAAGGTTTGATTGACAGCTGTAGCCAATGAATAGGCTCTTTGACTCTGCTCTAGTATAAGTGAAGCATGACTTTATTACTAATGATAATGTTAATTAATAGGTATTTGTTCATGCGCTGCACCTGCACAGTTTATTGAAGCAATGAGATAACAAGCGTTGGCTGATAATGTAGCACTGCACTTTCTCATCCACAGTAGCAGTTCAATTAATGTGAATAATCTGAAGCTGCTCTGGATGAAGTATAGACTAATAGTATCATTTATTATTTTAAATATATCTTTTGTTGCATGAATTTGCTTTTTATGTAGGAAACTTGGACAGCAAATGTTCCTGTGCGCTTTAAACAGACTGTTTATACTTTTATTTAAAATGTGTTTATTGATTGAGTCTTTAATCCTTTTTAAAAAAAAAAATTTTCTATCATAGATTTTGTGCCGACTGTCCACATTAATATCCGAGCTACGCTGTGTTGGTACTGACTGTCATTTCTAGAACCTTCCTAATATAAACAACGAATTGTTCATGAGATGAGGAATGACTGAATCTTAGATTGGACAAACCTTCACGGGTTTACAGTTGTAGCTGCTGTTGCCACTGATAAAGTAAAATAGTTTCTTCCAAAACATTTTAGTCCCAATTTTCTTAAAAACGGCAACTGATTAGATTTAAAAAAGGAGACTTTTTCAGGGAAAAAGGACATTATCTCGGATTTGAGCCTAATGCAAGATGAAACAGGTCGTTAGATGAATGTTTCCTGCAGGTCCAATCTAAATTCCTAGCTCTCCTCTGCTGCCTGTTTGATGAATACTACGAGTGTGGACAGAGCCAGTGAGTGAGCGAGATATGTGCAGGCATTAAATGTGTATTCATCAGGTCTGGCCCCAGCCATTGACGGGCTAATCAATGTTTAGTAATGAGGCTGAATGTGGAATGAGGTGTGGGGGGGTGTGTGGGTCAGGATGGAGGAAAGAGATATCAATTAAGCAGGGAACTGCAGAGTCCAGGCGTGAGGAGCTGAGACGGCAATATCCCAACTCTGCTTCATTAACTAAACAGTGTGCACTGAATGCAAAACTCCTGCAGCCCCCTCCTACAAAAGCACCATGTCCCTCACGGTAAATGGCCGCCTTATTCACTGGAAAGTAGTCACTGCAGCAGGTAGAAAAACACTAGTGATACTCGACATAATGAAATCCAGGCGACGTGCAGGGAAATGAGATCCACGTGTGATGCAATAAAACGAAACGTGCAGGAACCTGCAGGCTGGGAACGCGCACAGGACCCAAACACGTTAGCAAATAATAGTGAGAGATAATATTATAATATGCATTCAGCGTAAATTGGAAGAAACAGCTGGTAACTATAAATAGGCTCCTTTTCAGTTTCCAACATGCTGCACAGAATCAGAAAGCCGGCTCGTTTAACTGTGACATTGGAAAGTAGAGTGCAGTTTGAAGCACTTCTTGTGTTTTCCACCAGTTAAGGCGCTTCATACTTCTGCTCTGCACAACTGTCTGCAGAAACTACTGTATCATCTACGGGATTTGGAGAATGAATATGTAGTTGCATTGAATAAGACTTGAAACCAGCCGCTGAGACCATTTTTACTGAGCTCACAGAGCAGTAGACTCTCATAGACTTCTATACAATTGGACTCATCTTGGCAACCTAAAAAAAAATCTGTGTTGGTCATCTGGTCAAGAATACTTCCAAAGCAGTAATTCAAATAATAATGATTATATAATGGAGGGTGAAGACTGATTTGAAGTTTTTCAGCCCCAGTAAAACTGTTCAATCTAAAAAAAAAACCCATCTGAGCATCGTCACCTCCATGTCATCAGCTGACAGAGTTTCATCATCTGCATCACCAAAACAATGGCTCCCACTTCCTGTTCTGGTCAGGTACATTTAGCAGGTTTGTGAAAGGGGGACAATGACAAACAGGGAGCCGGCCTGGAGATGACCTGGAGATCTACATGAAAAATATGTTTGCATTGAATGGCTGACAAAGTACTGTCTCTGAATATGTTTTATCCCATCAACAGAAACAGTGTCCTTACATTTTTCCTCTTTGGCTGTATTATGTACAAGGAGCTCGATTACTGGATGTCTGTTAATGACAGAAGAAAACTCACAATAAGCGATTGTCTTATTGAACCAGTGAGACAAATGGGAATGTGGATTTCCAGGATACAAGGCTGCTCCGAGCCGTTTGAGGTATTCACAAACCTCACCATGTCCCCTCCACATACTGTCTGCTATGAGCAACACCTGCTTTAACATGACTGTCAGAGAGCACGTGACTCCGACAGGCTCCTTTCCCCCAAACATGACCGCTGACACCATAAACACACATCGCCCGCTAGTGGTCGCTGTTTCCTCTTTTACCGTCCTGTCTGGATTCACTGCAACTTAATTCAACTTCCTTTACATGCTCAAGAGCAATGAGACACGCAACCCGAACACAACTTTCATAAGTTTGCACATGAACGCCCCCCTCCCCCCGCCCAACAGTAGGGCTGCAAAGCAATAAAAATGCAAATTCATATTTTCCATTTTCTGAAAAGCAATGACACACACGTCGTTATTTTGCACTCATGAAGTCCATTTCATGCTTCTGCTTACCTGAAAAACACAACCGTTTGCCACAAATAGATCCCCAGCACGTTTAGTCGGCACATTTTTGCCAGTCTCATTTTGTTTAGAGGGGAGGGGGAGTGTGTGGAGGTGGTGGGAAGGGGAGGAGGGGGGTCACGCTCTGGAGAGGATGAAGTCCCCTCCAAAAAAAAAAAAAAAAAGACCAAAAAAAGCCTTTAGTGGAAGAAGAGAAGAAGGAAGATGAGGGTGAGAGGGGAGGGGGGGTCGCGATTCTGGTTTATGACCTCCAAGGTGAACCGAAAATGTTCCACCTTTTGTGTGTGTGTGTGTGTGTGTGTGTGTGTGTGTGTGTGTGTGTGTGTGTCTCTGTGTGTGGGTTTTCAGATCCCGGAGTCGCCGGTGCCGAGCCGCGGGATGCTCATGACCTCAGTCTCCATGAAATCATGCTGATGTCCGCTCTCACGCCTCCACGCAGGAGGGTTTTTTGGGGGGAACAATCCACTAAATCCGCCAGGAGACTGTGTTCAGGACCACGGACAGAGGCGGGCAGTGGGTACGGAGCTCATCCGGGTTCTGGTTCGGGAGGGGAGGGAAAAGGGGGAAGAATAGGGGGGAGAGAAGGGGGTGGGTGGGGGTCTCGAGACGAGATCACGGGATCCTGTCAACTGAGCCACAGTTACATCCAATCACTCTAAAGTCCAGCGCGTGCGGTCCGCGGCGCCGACAGCGGGAACGAAACACATCCCCTCCGGTTCCTTCAGCAGTGGGTCTGCGGGAGGCTCACGCTCTCAGGAGGGCTCGAGAAGAGTGCACGTGCGCTTTATATTCCCCAAATCCAGCGCGAGGACAGAGCCGCAGCTTTCCTCACCCACATCCTACACACGTCCCGGACCCGCACGGGGCTGCTGCTCGGAGAGGAGGGTCTGCAGGTGGAGCAGGTGTGCCTCCTTTTCTCCCTCTCCTCCTCCTCCTGCTGCTCGGCGGCGGCTCCCCGGGGTGAGCAGTAGTAGTAGCGGTCTCTGCAGCAGCCCGGCTCGGCTGCTCCCATTGTCCGCTGCCGCTCAACTTGGAGACTCACCGGCGGCCGCCGCTGCGCTCCCGCCCCAGTACCAGCACCGGAACACCAGCTCCGCTAAACCGAGAGAAAGAACAAAAAGCAATCCCGTCGGAGTGTCGTTAACGTGCTCGCCGACTCGTGTGGACCCGTTCCATGGCGGAAGAGAGCGCGCACACACGTGCACGGAGGTGAAACACGGAGGCGGACACAGCCTCGTGCGCTCTGGTCTGCTTTCTTGCTGCAGTCATTTACCAAATTCCGAAAAAGCCCCTCACCGCGCACGGACACGCCCACAGCGTGCCCCATTGGGCTGCGCGGGGCTGAAGGACGCCGATGACTGGCTGGGGGAGGTGTCACTAGCTGGGTATGAGCTTCTGCCCCTCATACGTGGATCCCCTGAGGAAATATCAGCGAACTTACTAAAGACTGAGCGTGCAGACCTTTAATATTTGTAAAAGTGATAAATCACGTGTCTGTGATCTGAGTTACGGGAAGGGAGAGGAGCCCTCACTAAAACACACCGAGCTGCTCCTGCTGAACTGAGGGAGGAGGCAAAAGCTCACACTGTCTGATTTCACAAATCAATGAAACAAATCCGTGAGCAGAAGAGATCAAAGTTTTAATCTGATTCATTTTTATGTTCTTATCATGATCGAAGGGCCTTCACAGTGCATCCGTTTCACTGTTTAAAAGGATTAACTTTCCTCTCCCCAACCAGCCGCGACAGATGGCCGCCCCTCCCCAAGCCTGGTTCCGCCAGAGATTTTTTTTCTGTTAAAAGAGAGTTTTTCCTTCCCACTGTCGCCAAAGTGCTTGCTCATTGGAGGTCATATGATTGTTGGGTTTTTCTCTGTATGTATTATTGTAGGGTCTACCTTACAATATAAACAGTGAGGTGACTGTTGTTGTGATTTTGTGCTGTATAAATAAAATTGAATTGAATGGAGTCATGTCTGAATATGACTTATTAACACTTTGGTACCAAATACATGTCTTTGTTTAGTGTTTCTTTATTTGCCATAAGGTGCTGCAGCTTTGGTGAACTCCTCTTCACTCTTTTAGATGAAATTGATCCTGTGACGTGGCTTTGATGCAACTCGAGATGAAATTGGAGAGATTTGAAGTTTGGAGGTGCATGAGGAGGCAACTGTGAAGGGGCATCGCGGGATCATCTTTTTTATGGGCTGACTGTAATATGTGTTACTTTTTTCTTTTTCTAAGGTGGTTATTCACTTATGTCTGTTTTCATTCAGATACCAGGAGGACCAAACAAAGATTTTGAGGCTTTGTAGACGATCCCCTTTATATGAAGCCTTGAGTAAGATGCCACCAAATCAGAATTTAATACCTATAAATGAGCTGCAGGGACTCTGCATCTTCAGATGCTAATGGAAAGCTTCCAAACGTAGCTTTCTTCCTGCCTCAGAGAAAACCGCAGTCAGAATGCACAACAAGTTTATTTTTAGAGGACTGCACGCAAGCCTGTCTGCCTGTATACACCAAATTCCTACTCAAATGGGATGCAATGAATTCCACTTAGGGTTAGTAAATTACCAATTATTATTATTATTATTATTATTATTATTATTATTATTATTATTATTATTATTATTATTATTATTATTATTGTTGTTGTTGTTATTATCATTATTATTAGTAGTAGTAGTAGTAGGATTATTATTATTCAACCACTCAAATACTGCTTGTAGCGAGTCTTCATTAGCAGCAGGTTGTTTACCACCTGTGATTTTTATGACATGGTGCATCTCATGGTATTGGCACTTTGTTTTACATAAGAATTATTATAAATTAGAGGCTTTTTCAGAATGATCTTATAATTTATCAGCAGAGAGAGTGCAGGCCTGCCTGGGTGGTCATACAGTCAGTAAGATACTCTGAAGTGTCTTTAATCTTGTGCAGTGTAATACTGTAATGTTGTCACTCCAAAAATGTATTCTGTGATTTTAGAGTAACACACACACACACACACACACACACACACACACACACACACACACACACACACACACACACACACACACACACAGTCTCTCTCCTCAGGACCATTTTGTCCGAAGTGTCCGCTGGAACGTGACTGTGATTCTAATGTCTGCAGGCACTGAAGGAATCACAAGGCTTAGCGATACTGTGACTGAAGAGCAGACACACACACACACACACACACACACACACACACACACACACACACACACACACACACACACACACACACACACACACACACACACACACAGAGAGAGAGAGAGAGACAAGAATATGATGTCTTCATTAGTGTAAAGGGAAAATTGCTCAGTGTGCAGGGCTCCTACCTCAGGCTAATTTCTGACTAAATAAAGGAAACAGACAGATAGACAGATGTGTCGCACAGGTTGGAACACAGGACTTTGTACTAAATATGAGTATGAATGATGTATACAGCAAACAAAGCTCAGACTCACACTGAGTGTGCTGAGATGTGAAACATGAGTCTGACAGAATTATGCAGAGATTATAGCAAAGATCAGCTGGTCTTCATTTACTGCCAATTGTCTCATTATCAATGCAATGATTGTGGCAATATTTACTACTTGTTTTTGATGTTTTATTCTCGCCTTCAGTTGGTGTCACCTCATTTAGTCTGCACAGGGTCTCTTATTTTGAATTTTCTGTGTCTGACTTCCTGTTGATCTCATCTGTTCTGTGTCATGTGCCTTCTATAAAAACGGAAGCTATAGCAGTAATAATACTGCTGCTTTATATTAAGCAGAGAGGAGAGCTACTTGCGTGCACTCCTAAAATGTGCTGCGGCACATCAGGCGGAATCAAGTGTGGTCTTGACTGGAGGAGACCACAAATAGAATTTCTTTATGTAGGTTTGTTTGTTTTTATTGTCCATACTGTAGATTTTCTGCAGAACATCTTTGGGTTTCACTTCAGTACAGTTTTCCTTTTATAATTCAGCAGTATGTGGAATGCAAAGGAAGCATGATGAATATTTAAACCATTACACAGCCATTATAGCTCTTTATGTAAATGTGGAGTAAAGTGCTGTGGTGGTTATTTATAGTCACAGCAGGCTGTAATTGGCTCCTGTTCTTATTTGGAGTGTGTGGACCAACCCAGCTGACCCGTCCCTGCAGAAGATGGCTCACAGCTGTGCTGCTGGAAGGTTGCAGGTTTAAATCCCTCACTGATGAAATCTTAATAAAGAGTTAATCAACTCTTCAAACATTAAACCTCAGGAGCCAAAGTCTCCCAGCACAGATCTCTGAGCAGTGTTTGCTCAGTCACAGCCAAAATTTACAACTATTTCTGACTGGCTCAAGGAAATTTGATTTCACTTGCATTTGTGTTAAACTGAATATAAATGATTGTTCTTCTGTGCACAGCTGCTCCTGCAGTAGATCATGTTTTCCTCTCCTCTGACTCCCTCTGTCATGCCAGTCGCCTGATGGTTGTGTTTCACTACATCTTAAGTATTTACATACTTAGCGTGTTGTCATTCGTGGGTGTCAAGTACTGCTATTTCACCTGCTGCCTGCCTTTCACAGATAAGGCCAAGTTGTCCTTTGGTTGTGGCAGTAGCGAGATGGTTCTCACTTTGTAACCAGCGACATAAAGAACCCTCTGGTGCCATGATTAAACACACAGTTGGCATAATTGTCCAGCATGCAGGGCTGATGTGCAGTAGACTGCAAAACCAACCACAAACAGGAGAGTAAAAAGTGAATCAAAAAAAGCAAAAAAGGTCCTAAAATTGACAGAAGACTAAAAAAAACTTGTGATATATATTCCAACACTGAAGCCCATCTTGTGTGTATCTCTGCAACAGCACTTCTGACAAAACAGCAGGATTTGATCCCCTGAGATAAGAACTCACCGCTAGAACCGAGACATCCTTTAGTGCAACAGAAAACCTCCCAATTTAAAGAGACTGGATATAATTTGGCCTGTCAAACTTCAGCACCTGGTTAGAAGGAGCCGGTGTTCAGTGTTGGCAGGTGAAGTTACTGCAGGAAAAACAAGAAGTCTCCCGATTCAAAGGCAATAGTGGCAAAGGTTAACGGTTGAGTCGTATTTTTGAAGTCCAGGAGTTGTTCTGATTCACTGAGAAATGTGAAGAGTCTGACAGCAGCAGCCCAAGAACAACTGTACTCTACAAGGTACAATATGCTATACTTTAATATTTGCTGATATTTGATATTTGCTGTGAGTTCACTGTGCTCTTTTACCATCCACAAAGACCTTCATTTAGCACATTAACTGTTTCTGCTGCAAGCTGAACAGGTGCTCTGAGTGAGGCTGATGTTCAGCAGCAGGACGGATCAGTAGCTCCAGTTTCCCTCTAAAAGTTTTTAACAAAAGATAATCCAAGTAGAGCCCTTAGGTCTGCAGATAAGTTGCTTATGACTATCCCCAGAAAAACAGGGGTGACCGAGCTTTTGCGATCGCTGCACCCAAACTCTGGAACAGTCTGCCCCTTCACATTAGGTCATTGCCAACACTCGACATTTTTAAAACCCAATTGAAAACACATTTGTACTCTTTAGCTTTCAATTATGACTAGTCTTTTATATAATTACTATGTATGTTTACTATTTTATCTCTACTATGTGCAGCACTTTGGCTCAACCCGTGTTGTTTTTAAATGTGCTTATAAATAAATTTTGATTTTGATTGTTTTTTTTTATTTGAAAGCATCGTAACATTTATCCTTTACTAAAGGTCATTATGCCATTCAGGCAGCCTTCGCAGGGAGACTTGTAGAAAGGTTGAAACTCGAGGATTCTTGATATCAGAGCAGATATTCAATGACAACAGCTGGTGTCACAGGACGAGTGGAGGATACAGTGAAGATACACAAAATGACCCAATGGGAAACAGATTTCTCTACACTTATAGTAAAAATGTTCCAAAAACTCGAGTTAGGATTTAACATCACAGTATTAGACCTCCATGAGAGCATGTGTCCAAACCTGTGCCTACATCTGTCAGATTCTAATGCACAAAAACGAACAAAAAAAAAAACCATGTTGTGCAGCGTTTCTCTCCATTATTTCATCATTTTCAACACCAACTTTCTATCTTTGTATCGCCATAAACTGTTTTAGCTTCAGAACTAAACTTTGCCCAGAAAGTCTTATATTTCATTTTTCAATCATCTCTTAAGAAGTTGGACTAAAATCCAGTGCACAAACAGCAGCTCAGCAAATCATGTATCAGTGCAATGGGAAAAGGTAGAAAAGGAGTTCTTAAAAATATCAC